GACACAAAAAACAGAAAACAAGAACGAAGTTTCAGAATCAAGAACAGAGATAGTCTATCAAGAGCATAAAGAATACAAGAAGTATAGGGCCAAGAACAGTGGCAAAAATACAGTGCGTGTGTTCAAGATATGGGCAAGGGCAAAATTGTGGAAAAAACACATTCAGATGTATGATTCACAAGATCGAATGTTTAAGCAAAGCAGTAATGGCAACAAGTTCAAGAAAAAATTAAGAAATTGAAATAAGAAGGAATAGTGTATTACCAGAGGAAGAACGAAGCAGATGTTAAACGTTGCCGAGGTCAGACGACGGTGGCGGACCGGAAAATCAGCAAGAACCTAGTCGAAGAAAGCGAACACCGGTGGCTGCAAAACTCTGGAAGCTTGAGCAATGGAGGATTTCGAAGGGTAAAGCAAGAAAGAGAGAGAAAGAGCTTCAGACGCGAAAGAGTAAAGTGAAAAGACGGGGAAAAAAAAGTTTTGATTAAACTTGAAACGGCGGCAAAAAGGAAATTAATGATTCTAGAAAAACGAATCCGTCAGGCAGCGCATACAAGCGCAAAAACGGTCTACAACACGTCCAGAGTACGATCCAGTAAAAAGAAGAAGCGTGGCTGAAACAGTTCAGTTGTTTGTGCATGACAGCTCACAAAATTCTTGATCTTTAAGAAGGCATGTCGGCCTAATATGATGATCTCGGATTAACCCAATGAATTAGCATGAGGTACTGATATAGGTTCCATCACCTCAGAATGCCAAGGTAATAGAACCTAGGGGGCAGTTGTGGGGATATATTTTTGAGTACCAACACGTGGTAAGGTGACGCCGACGTGTCAGCCGAGGTGCCACATGTCCTGGTCGTTATGCTGAGGTCATCTCGGTTAGGCCGAGGTTATCTCCGAAGATATCGGAAACCGAGATAAGCGGATAAAAGATAAGGGACAAGAGTCCTAGAATAAAGAAGAGACTTAGCCAAGATAAGAATAAAGCTCTTAGGAAATTTATCTTTATCTCTTGAGGAGTCCAAAGTAAGTACTGAACTGGAATCCATAGAAGTCAGGCTTCTATTGGGATTAGGATTGAGGTGACTATAAAAGAGAGGCACCCCCATGTGTCTAAGGTACGCAATTTATATTCTGTCTAGTGAGTTAAGCATTATTGATTATCTTTGAGAGATATACTGACTTGATCGTCGAAGTGCCCCCGGGTGGACGAACCACTGCCGGAATCTTCTCTTTCTGTTACAGGTTAGCCAGGTGTCATCTATTCTGCCAGTGTTCTCCACCTGAATACTGAGTTGGGCAGTGTGATTGAAAAATCACTCACACAACAAGTATGTATATGTTTGCTTCTCATTTTCATAACCCAATGAATAAATTTTAATTTTTTTCACTTTATTATTTTCCATAGAAAAAAATGAAAGATATTCCTTTGTCCAAGTCTAATAAAAATCAAGGGACAGTCGTATAACACATGACACTCTATTTTATTTATTTTGCTCTAATTTCATTACCCCAATTTGCTTTCTTATATATATAAATTTGTAAATTTTATGGGCATTATATATTTTTTAAGAAAGATTTTAAAACCATTTCACACCACCAGTACCACTTTGGACAACTTTTACACCTTAATGTTATATTTAGATTTTGAATTTGTCAAGAAAAAAAAATAATGAAATTCCTTATAAAGATTTATTTTGCTATGAGTTACAAAACAAAAAATATTCACGAATATGTTTGTTTCTCAATTTCCTAAACAACCAAACAACTAAATAAGGGTTAGGCTTCTCTTTAGTCTAAGATTTGACTAGAGCGTGTTGTTGGGCCTGTGGAGGCCACCATGGGTCTTGTTTCGATAATCCAAATCGTTAATGTGTAGAACTTGTTGAGTACTTTATCTATATAAAAAATCACGTTGATCAGATATTAATAGCTATTTGATCGGATCAAATTTATGTCAGTGGTAAATATAATTTTCAATATAAATTATTGACAAAAATCTAATCTGATCAAGTAGCTATCGATATCCGATCAATGTGATTTTTTAGAGGGACAAAGTGCTCGACGATTTCTACATATTAAACGGTTCAAATTATCAAAATAGAACCCGTGGTGCGCCCTACAAGCTCAACAGCACCGTTCAATTGGAGACAAGCCTAGCCCAATAAATAAATGTTAACTTTGTCCGTTTTATTTTAATTTTTTAGGAAAAAATAAGTGATCTTCTAAATTATATCTGTAACCAATGGGCTAGCTCGATTGTCCAAAATCCCTAAATTTCACTATGAGATCAGTGGTTTGAATCTCTCCACCTGCATAGAGGTTTTAATCTTCATATATTTATTAGATTTTCTCTCTCACTTTGTGAGCTTTTTTGAGAGTCCTTTTTTTTTTTTTTGTGTTAATTAATGTTATATGTGATCTTTGACATTATAATTATAATTATTTTATTGGATTTCATTGTTTGTAATATCATAAATGAATCGAATAAAAAAAATTAAAAAAAAATTGTGTGACCTTTGTCGTTGGTCATTTTTTAGATAGTAATTCAATGGATTAGGATCTTTAGGCCATAATTTGATTAGAATCATATAGTAAACCAAGCAAATATAGAGTAAATTACTGTTCAATTTACATTTTAAAAAATAATTACAGATTTGTGAGAAAATTTATAATTTTAATTATTAATATTTATAAAATTTATTTCTGATTTGATATTTCCCAATAAATATATGATAGAGAGATTTAACAATATTGTAATAAACAAGGTACTAAGTACTCTCGGCCAATAAGCTAGTTTCATAAGTTGAATTTACATGCTACACTTATAGGTTACTTTATTTGGCTTCATAGGATAGAGAATTAGAAAAATAGTGAGATTGAGTAAGAAGATTATTAATGTACTGATATTAAATTAGATATGTATAATAAAGAATGTTTGTTTGTACTCAACCGAATTAGTAATACTATAAATAGTATTAATATATAAAATTAATATTTTTTATTTTTTAATATTTTTTTAATATTATAATTATTTTTTAATACTTTTTAGGTGCACTTAATCCACAGACACTTAAAAAATATAAATTTTGGTTAAAAATTATTTAAAAATTCACTAAATACATAAAAAAAAATCATACACTTAATCTTCTGTAATATTTTTTTTTTAAAATATTTATTTCACAAATTAATTATTGAAAAAAAATTAAATTAAACATATTTTAATCCAAGGGATTGGATTATCAATCCGAACTCTCCGATGTGAATGCTAATCCCATTCTCTGGAGGGATTGATAGTCTAATTAAACTAATAATCCTACAACATTCAGCTCAACAATATATACTTTTGATGAACCTCACAATTTAATAATCAAATCCCCTCCACTAATAAGCCAAACAAACATGTCCATATTATCTTCTTTATACTTGTCAAATTTCAGATTTATTGGCTACAAAGAGCCATCACATAGTCTTCTTTATACTTGTCAAAGTTCAGATTTATTGGCTACAAAGCGCCATCACATCCATGTAGTTTTCAAAATTAAAATTATGCCAAGCATAGATATTTAAGTTGGATGACAAGGTATCGTTTGGGAAGAGTTCATTTGGGCTCTTTTGCCTCTTTGAGCCACAAAAGACAGAATAGGCTATTTAAATCACAATAAACAAAACATCACATTCAATCCATAATCATTACACTCTTCTCTTACAAAAAAAGTCAAAAAAATCAAAAAATTAAAAAGCCCTTCACAAACCAAACTTTTGAGCCCAAGCTCAAATAACCAAAAAAACTAAAAAATTAAAAAGTCAATCTACTTCCCAAACAGAGGCAAAGTTAGCTCTCATTTTCAAACTACCTAGAATTTCACAACCAAAAAGGTTTCAAGAGGAGCATATAATTCAACGACAAATTTTTGTAAAAATGTAAAATATCCAAGAGGTTTTCAAAATGAGAATTAGCATAAAAATTCTTAAGCCGAGAGTAAAGTATTTTCGTTTATTTGAAATAAAGTATTCATCATAGTTCTAAAAAATTCAAATATTTTTGTTCATTCTCTAGTTCCATAAATTTATGACTTAAAATACTTGGTAGTTCTTAAGGTATATCCAAACCACCTAATTGAAATCTACCTATTGTGAGCCATGAAAATATTAGTACAATTTCAAACGACTTGGACCGTCTTCAGTTGGATAAGTCAATTGAATGGTCTAGTCTAATTCATTTTGGCTGCGTCTTAACGATCTAAACTGTTTAATATGTAAAGCTCGTCAAATATTTTATCATTGTAAAAAAGTTTACGTTAATCGGATATCAATAACTACTTAATCAGATCATATTTGTGTGAACAATTTATTTTTAAAATTATAATTACGATTAACATAAATTTGATTTGATCAAGTGACTTTCAATATTCGATCAACGTAATTTTTTATAGAAATAAAATATTCGATGAACTTTACATACTGAATCGTTCGAATCATCAATATGAACACTATATGAGCCTACAAAAATCCAATAACACCGTCCAATCTGATTCTACACCAGAGAGAAGCCACTGCGAATTTCGAAGTGTGGCCTCATTCTTTCATAACAATCATCTATATAGATAATATTGGAGTATGAAAATAATTGTTTTAATAAGAAAAGACACTCTTATCAAGTGCAAACTCACAATTGTTCAAAAATATCACGGAATAGTTAAGGCCTATTTTATGTATAGCTGATTTTAGTCTTGTAGCTGATTTAAAAATATATTTATGTATCTTATTTATTGAATTCTAAAAATCTTTTTTTTTTCCAAAAAATAGAAAACATAAAAATGAGTTTGATAAAAATGGAAAATATAAAGATTAATATTTTCATATGATTTTCACTTTTGTAAGACAAAATAATTTTTAAAAATTGAAAATAGTTTTTAGTGCTTATTTTCATTACATTAATTTCTATATTTAAAAAGAAAACACAGAAAACATATTTGAAAAATCAACCAAATGGTATTTTTCATTAACAATTTTGTTTTTCAGAACTCATCTCTGTATTTACATCTTAGCAATGTTAATAATACCAAATTTTCTACCAAATAAATTATCAAATATCTTATATAAATGTGAAATCTGTAATTTATGAATCACACATTCATATAAAACATTTGATCAATTATTTAATAAAAAATTTAAAATTTATAACATTTTCCTTTACATTTACATTGCACACACAACCAAACAAAACCAAGTCCTAGCCTATCACACGCCTCACCAACCATCCAAAAATTAACTAACCAACAGTTGCTCGCCAAGTGGCATTTGTCCCATCTGACACGGAACTTGAAACACATTTGATTGGCTCTCCACTTCCACCTCGGCTTGCTCAGCAGCTAACCCTTTCTTCCTCCTCTTCGGTGAGCCACTCTCCGAAGCTGAAGAAGCCGACACCGATGGCTCGGGGGACCTCTTCTTTGCCGTTATCCTCACCGGATCCGGCTCATTGGAGCCGATCCGGTGAGGAAAATTCAACAAAGCCCTTGAGCCACGCATCCTATAAGCTGCTCTGTCATAAGCCAGAGCGGCTTCCTCGGCTGTCTCGTATGTTCCAAGCCAAACCCTCGCGCCGTTCTTAGCCGGATCTCTTATCTCCGCAGCGAACTTTCCCCACGGCCGTTGCCTCACTCCCCTATAATGCCTCCCCTTCGGCGGCGCCACCACTAGCTCAGCCTTCACCGGTGGCAGTGGCTCCGTCAATTGAGCCGACGTAGTGGTAGCCGGCTCAATTTCATCTCTAGGCTCGGGCTTAACGTCCGTCACCGTTAGATTTGACGGCGTCCAGCCAACACTAACGGCGTCACGCAAAAACCCGTATATGACCATGTCTTCAGAGTCGTCAACTTTTAACGGCAAGTCACCCCATGTGTCTGTCAAGCAGGGGATGAGACTACTGAAGCTTGAGCTGCGGCGATACACCGGAAAGTCCCCGGCGAATATTGCCGGAAAACTCACCGCCGTGGACTCTTGTGCATACATATTAGTGTATTTTTGAGTATTTTGTGTGATTTTTGGCTTGTTTTGAATAGGGTTTTGATGATTTTGGGTGGTTTTGAGATGGGTTTTGAGTTTTTTTTGGATGAGAGAGTCGAATTTGGAACGAAGGGTTTGGAGAGGAATTTATATAGTGGAGGAGAGAGAAAGAGATTCATGCACCTGTGTCTGTGGTGGGTCACTAGTGTGAGGGCATTTTTTGTTTCTTATTTTATTTTCTAAACTTTTTTGGGGTTTCTTTGAAACTTCTTTGGTTTGCAAGTGGGCAAGTTGGGTGGTGCAGTGCAGTGTAATCAATCACGTGGCTAAATTTAAATTTCACAATAGGATCGCAAAACATCATGTGATGACGTTAGCAAGGACACCAACCAACCTCACTGCTAACTCTACATATTAATGCCCTGATTGGAAAGTGAAATTTCAGCCCTTTTTTAGGTTAAAACCTAAAAAAAAAATTAAAATAATTAATAAGATAAAATATCATATTATATTTACAATTATTTCATTTTTTCTTTTACAAATATCACATCTAATTATAAAAAAATTCAATCATTTTTTCAAGTATAAAAATTTTAGCTTACTATGTAGTGTTTTGAGAAGTTAGTAAAAAGTTGATTTTTTAACTCTTAAAATAGTCAAAAATTAAAATATTCTATTAAAATAATAATTTTCCAGACACCCACAAAATTACGGTAAATTACATCTGCACCTTGAAGTTTGATTTTAATGTATTTTTCTTTCTAAAATTTAAAATCTCATTACAGTTTGCCTTCTCCGTTAACTAACCGTTAGATTAACTAATACTACTTGGTGACGTCATCAACTAATTTGTTTAAGAAAAATGCTTGAGAGCTCTAGGAAATGAGCTCTAAACCATGCACTAATGACATGGAAGTGTGTGGAGTCCAGTTTGATGTGATGCTTTAGCTTGAATTTTTTTTTTTTTTTTTTTTTGGGGACTGCCAGCTCAGTAGAGCTCTTTTTAGAGCTCTGCTTTTAGAGCTCTATAGCATTGTTGTTTGTTTAATGAATCGCCTAGTGACACCAACAACTTGGAAAGGACTGACTCTAACCCAAACCGAGCATGGCAATCGTCTTGAACCTCCAAATTTTGTCAAATTTGAAGAGCCCCAAATATATTTAACTTTTATGGTGTTAGAAAGTCTAAAAATAAAGATTCAAACCAACTAATTTAAATTAAAGGTTCTTACAAATTATATGTAAAAATAATTAGTAATTTTATTCTTAAAAATGTCAAAAAAATAATATTTAATTTAATATTATACCGTAATTGTTTAATTTTTATTTGGTATTATAATTTTAAATTTTTGTTCATTTTATATTATTTTTCTTATTTTTATCTTTTTTATAGATTGGGTAATATTTTTTGCGTATGGTAATTGAATTTGCTAAGAACAAATTTTTATATTTTTGAGTTTGCAGTGATTTTCTTCGTACCTTGATTTGTGTAAGTAAATTTGAATATATAATTTTAGAGCATCTCCGATGCATGCTCCATATCTTCAAATATGGAGGATCCTCTCCCCAAAACAACTCCAACCCATCCTTTATATCCTCCTCCATTTGGGAGGAGGATGAATTGATCTTCCAAATATAGAGGGAGGATGAAAAAATGGAGGATCACTCTAAAACACTATTTACTCTTTTTTTATCTTTAATTTTGTCTTTATAACTTAATATGTATATTCAATATTTATAAAATTAGTTTCAGTAAAAAGATATTAACAATACCTTTAAAATGAGACCAATATTAATTATATTTAACAAAAAATTAAATAAATAATTTAAATTTTGGAAAAAAAATTGGGTAAAATTTGAAAGAAAAGTGAGAAAATGTTCAAATTTTTGAAGAAATAGAGATGTATGATTAGAGTTGTCATAAATAATAAGATCCTTTAAACTCACTTTTTGAATAAAAAATATTATTTTGTTCCTCTATATTAGAGAAATAGAGATGTATGAGTTGGAGATGCTCTTAGTAATTATATATGCAAACATATTTTGTGTGGGTACTAATAAAATAAAATATTTGTACTTACCATTTTATCCACAATATCTTTTTGGTGGCTTCGTTTGGAAAGTGAGTTGACTTTTTGATTTTTTTGACTATTTTAGCGTGGGCTAAAAAGCTTGGTTTGGTAAGAACTTTTTGACTTTTTTGACTTTTTTTGTGAGAGAAGAGTGTAATGATTATGGGTTTGATGTGATATTTTGTTTATTGTGACTAAAATAGCCTATTTTACCTTTTATGACTAAAATAACTCCAAACCTATCCAAACTCACTTGCCAAACCAAGATAATACAATATACTCTTAAAATTTAATCCAAAAAATTACATTTATAAATCACATTTATTTGAAGGACGACTGGTATTACATTACTTTTGAATTTACGTTATACATCATTTCACACTAAGGCCAAGTTTGGCATGATTGAAAAAAGACAAAAAGTCAAAAAGTCACTATCCTATTTAAGTCACATCATCTTATTTAAGTCACATCACCTCTCTAACACATCACTTTCAAACCCAACCCATATTTCATAAAAAGTCAAAAAGTGCACTTATTTAGTCTTCCCAAACTAGACCTAAAGTTTTGGATAGATAATTTTTATTTTTATTTTATTTTTTTATATATAAAAGGCCACAATTTTAAGATTTCGCTTTGGATAGATTTCACAGCCGGTCCTGAACGTGGGCCCCTTCTTAAGAATAATCGGTACATTGCATTTCTCCCTTTCTCTCATGTTTGATGTAAGCTTTAGAGAGTATCGATTAAAGTTGTCAGCAGAGTCATTCCTGACATTTTTGAGGTCTAAAGTTAAATTAAGCACTTCATGTATTAAAAACAAAACAAAAAAAAATTATTTATTTAAAATTTTACTTGAAAGAGTATAATGCATATTCAAAATTAATAGAATGCGAGTTATATTTAAAATGAATGCGATTTATAAATATATATTTTTGAAATTAATTTTTTAGAGTATATAACATATACATGGTCATAAAAAAAATAAAAAATATAAAATTTTGTGAATAAAATCATAAGTAAGTACTTGTAATATATATTTATTATTAATGCCTCTCATCCTTTCAACAAATGTTTATTAAATCAAGAGAGAAATATTTTTTTAATGAAATTGAGAATTTATCATATTTGAATTTAATGAAAATCTAAAAAAATAAAGCATTGGAGATATTTTTTTTCCAATCAAATTTGATTTAAAATGAAAATTTAGAGTAAGAGAAGAATTTTTAAAAAGATTTTGATAAAATCTTAAAGAAATGGTTAGAGTAATTCATATCAAATCAAGTATTTTACTCAAACTTGGAATCAAATTAATAGTGTCTTTTGGGAACACAGTTATGAGCTACTTTTTGACTTTTAATCTATTTTGAGTCACATTACTTCTCATATTTTTTACATATTTTTTCAAAAAACACTAAAAAGTAAATTTTTAATCCTCTTCCCAAAAAATAATAAATAATTGGGGATGCTTTAAGGACCTTTAACTTGAATTGTGAAATTAAATTGGTTGACTTTAATTATTTATTTTTAAACCAATTAACACCATAAAAATTAAAATTATTTAAAACCTTGGCTTCGTTTGGGAAACAAAAGTTGGGGTTTTTTTTACTATTTTAGCCATAAAAAATAAAATAAGATTTTTAGCTTAATAAGACAAAACATCACATCTAACCTATAATCATTGCATTCTTTCTCTCACAAAAAAAGTCAAAAAAGCTTAAAGTTCTTTCCAAACCAAACTTTTTAACCCCAAACAAAAATAACAAATAAAATTAAAAAATCAAAAAATTAACCTATTTCCCAAATGAATCCGAAATTTGATAAAATCTGAGTACACAAGGCGATTGCCTGGCTCCTCTTGGGCCAGGACCAGGCCTAGTTGTTTGAAGTGAAGGGGAGCATACGCCATGAAGAGTGGGTAAGATGAAGAACAAGTTCTATGCCTAATCCATCTCAATGAGATGATAGTATTAGGTAAGGTCATTAAAATTATTTTAATTTATATATATAAACATATTAAATTGTGCACTATAAAAAAAAATATATCTTTCAGCGAGGAAAAAATTATCACCAAAAAAATTGATGATGAGGAGCTCATTTCATTGCGGAAAAGTTTTGAGTAATATATATTGATGTCAATAAAAATTACATTTTTGTATAGTGGCAAAAGTATTTCTATCTAAAGATGTTGGGGTTTTTTTTTTTTTTTTTTGGTGTATATTTCTGATTTTTATGCTTTATCTGAGAGAGAGAGAGTTAGGTTGATAAATCAAATCAAAATACTTTTCATATGTTGAGAATAAAATTGATACAAATTAAACAACAAAGGCAAAGATGGCAGGGTTTACATATTTTGAAAACTAAAATATAAATTTTTAATTGCATTTTCATGTTTGTTAGTTGTTTTCTATTCCTATTATACGTAGAATTTTTGTATTCTTGTACACCTAGGTTTCCTATATACTTAGGTTTGTTGGCTTATATATACAGGCTTCTCCTATTGTAATTAGGGGTGTGCATAATACCGCCGAAACCGCCGAAACCGTCAAAACCGCACCGAACCGCACCGCCAAGGCAAATTCGTTATTATTTGCCAATCGAACCGCCGGTTTTCGGTAAGGAAAATGGCAAATTCTAGTGACACTTTTATCAATCCGCCACCCGCCATACGGTTTCTATTTTCTCTCAAACCGTACCGACCCGCACCGCGCACACCCCTAATTGTAATTGATACATTGAATATATACAATACATATTATTTTCTCTCTCTCTACTATTCTCATATCATGGTATCAGAGTCAAGGGTTTTTTCTTAGCCTCATTTTCTTCTTTATCACGTTTTTTTTTAAAAAAAAATTTTTTCCTGACAGATTGTTTCATTCTGTTTCTGCGTATCAATTCCTTTTATGTTTCAACAATTACTCTATACCATCTTCTTCGTCTCTTCAAGACGAAGCCAACGCCACCAGCCTCATCTTTATCCGACTCTCCACGCGCCATCACGTGCCTTCCCAAGCTTGGCAACGTGCTGTTCCGTTTCCCACGCGCC